CTGCTATCAGCCTGCTATCAGCCTGCTATCAGCCTGTTATCAGCCTGTTATCAGCCTGCTCCCCCTGCTATCAGCCTGCTCCCCCTGCTGGCAGCCTGTTCCTCTGCTGACAGCCTGCTCCCCCTGCTGGCAGCCTGTTCCTCTGCTGACAGCCTGCTCCCCCTGCTATCAGCCTGCTATCAGCCTGCTCCCCCTGCTGGCAGCCTGCTTTGCAGAGGCAGTAACTCCTCAGCCCAATAACAGAGCCAGGTTCCCACCCTCTGAGCAGCGAGTCCATCTCATCAGTAATAGTACTGTAACTGCTTATTACTATTGTGCATATTTATTCCTTGACATATATTTCTGCCGTTTCCGTCACAAATGTTGGCGCATAACTTGTCCCGCACGGTTCGACAGATCAGGCCCAAAAAAGACACTCGTGTCAAAACGACCGCGGGATGAATGCTGGTATTTCTCTCTCTCATTAGTCCTGGTGTTTTCAAATAAACAGACAAAAAGCCGAAACGCCGTCCCATAGGAAATGAATGGGAAGCCCAAAAAACGGGCCCAAAACGGAGCCGTTTTCAGACATCAGAGGCGCTTACTGGGTGGGACACAACAACAAAGTGGGGGGGGGGACAAAACTCCAAAATGCCTTGTACAATTTAAATAATCTTTTTTTTCTGATGGACCCTGGTGTCCCTCTTAGGTCAGCAGGCCCAAGAGTGCAACCAGGTCCCTCCACTGTGTCTCCTCCAATGGCTGTGCTTTGTTTCTGTCATTCAGGAGCCCTTATAGATACAAGCCAACACCATACACAACCCACATGAGTCCTTTGACCTCTCCAGGGGCTCCCAGGCCAGGTTTGAGGGTCCCAGTTCAAAGACCCGGGTTCCTTGAGTGGGCAGTAGGATGCCCCCTTCAAAATGTCTTTTTAAGCTTGAAAAGTTCAATTTAGGCCTTGAAGACACAAATTTTGGCGGCAAAGTAGTCCCGCACAGTTTCGAGAGAACAGGCCCAAAAAACACAAGCACGTCTGTACCGACCACGTGACGCATGCTGGTATTTCACTCTCTCATTAGTCCTAGCATTGTGAAATAAACTGCAAAAAAGGCCAAACGCTGTCCCATAGGAAATGAGCGGGAAGGCCGAAAAACGGGCCTAAAACATAGGCCGCTTCCGGGCCTGATCGCCCGGCCCCATGACCTCCGAGAAACATCATTTGAAGATTAAATGGGTCACGAAAGACGGGCCTCCAACCAATGTACCTACTTTTGACCTCGGCCTTACGATTTTCCCGAAATCGGGCCCAGATTCCAGACTTTCCCAACCCTCTCCGATAGGATTTTAATGAACCAAAGGAGAGAAAAATCTGACCAACAGACAAAACTGACATGATTGAAGTCACATTTCAGACCTTTTATTAGGTTTTTGTTCTTTTTTCAGGTTTTTCAAGCCGGAGAACCCGGAGAGAACCCACAGACACAGGAGAACATGCAGAACCACCCAGAAAGGTCCTGGTTCCCCCGGGACTCCAACCCAGAACCCTCTGGTCCTGGTTCCCCCGGGGACTCCAACCCAGAACCCTCTGGTCCTGGTTCACCCGGGACTCCAACCCAGAACCCTCTGGTCCTGGTTCCCCAACCCAGAACCCTCTGGTCCTGGTTCCCCCGGGACTATAACCCAGAACCTTCTTGCTGGGAGGCGACGGTGTCACCGTCCACCAGGTTTTTCATTCATTTTCATATTTATTGTTTATTTATTGTCAAAAGTGTTTAAATGATTTTAACAGGAAATCAAACGGGAACTTTCCAGTAAGATAACAGACATCCAAAAATAATGATTCAGTATTTATTACTGGAGCACTTTGATTCAAACCAGTTTAGTTTCTCAGCAGGAATAAATGACGTCGGTTTTCAGGCTGCAGTACCGGCCACAAACAGCAGGGGGCTCCTGGATAGAGCCCTGTGATCAGAGCTCAAACCCACCATTGATTAGCTTTTACTCCTCAGGTTTTATTCATTTGAATCCTTTTTTTTACAGAAGCTCTGAATTTCTGCACATCTTAACACAGAAAGTCGTCCCTCCAGCTGCCCCCAAACAGGCTGTTTAGCCACGTGTTGGAGCACTGGGTTCCGGGTCTGCTGGTTCATTAGTGGGGGAAAAAAAGACTGACACGTTTCTCGGTACTGTGAAGAGCAGAAAAACCACACAGATTCACACAGGAAGGGGGCGGGCTGCATCTGGGGCAAAAACCTCAAACTGGCCAAGAGACAGACAGACGCAAAGATGGAGGCATGTGCTCAGTACCTGCTCCGTAAGTAGAGACGCTTTTCTCTGTTTTCTCTGTTTTCTCTGTTTTCTCTGTTTCTGCTCTGTGGACGACTTCTGATGGGGGGGCACACTGAAACAGGTCAGGCTGAAGTCAGGTGTAAAATGCATCATGATGAGTTGCTTCTGGAGGAGCTTTAGGGGCTTTAACCAGGAAGCCAGCACAGAGAAAAGGCCACAAACAGCCAGAGAAACAGGCTGAAAGGCTCCAGATGTGAGCAGCCTGCTCAGAAGACACAGTGAGAGCCCTTTGCTTTGGTCCAGACTAAAGCAGAAGCCGTCTGCAGACAGCTAGTCCTGTCTGTCCGGACTCAGACGCTCCCATGTGTCTGCTTCCTGACTGTTACAGAGGGAAGGAAGGCTCTGCTCTGGGACTTTCCATCAGGGCTCTCAGAGCAGATCTTTGGGTTCCTGCTCTGTTCTTCTGAGCTCTGCTTTCCTCAGCTTGTTGCTTTATGCTGTTGAGTTTTACAGTCCAGCTCAAACCCACCTGAGTGTGTTTCCTCTCCAGTTGTGACCTCACTGCTGAGCGGCTCCACACACCAAGGTTGGTCCCCTTTTCCCAGCATGAGGAGCTCTAGCTGGACAGATGTTATCCAGCAGCACCAGGGCCGCCCATTCCTCAACATGGCTGAAACTGACTCCTGTTTCCTCCCTCTCAGCGGCTCTGACTGTGAGTCCCAGCAGCTCTCAGTTCTTCAGAGGATTCTCTGTGTCTCTGAGCTGTGAGGAGGACGGCAGCTCTGCTGGATGGACTGTGAGGAGGAACACCAGCAGAGGAACCAGGACCCAGTGT